TGTAGGCAAACAAAAACCAAGACCTGCTCAGAAGTAATTTCATGTGTCATTCCTGGTTGCTTGGGCCCAACAGCAACAAATACTTGAAAGCAGATAGGTAAAATAAGATGCAAACATATTTTACTTCTGTCATGGTTGCTATATGTGTGAATTTCCAAAGATAAGTCCCTGGGAAATAGGATAGCATGGTTTAGATCATGGGTGTCAAATTCGCTGCATCACGTGACATGTCGCAACGTATCATGAGTTTTTTTGCATTGCCAGAGTTGGGATGAGTGTGGCCTCCACATGATGTAACCGACCTGTGGGCCGGCAGTTTGATACCCCTGGTTTAGATTGTAAACCCTGCATACTAAGGATACTTTATTATTTTAAAAATATGTTTCTATAAAAATATTCTAGGTTTCTGTATTCACAAAAACAATGTCAATGCTCCTGCCTTTATTTATTTCTTTTAAGAAATCTCACTTGGCTGTTCTTTCTAGCTGGCTGATAGATATTGAACTTCATTGCTATTAGGCATCAGTTTTGCTAAGACACTCTTCATTTGTTGACAAGTTGTGTAATGCTAAAATTGGGTGGTGGAAACTTGACAGGAGATTAGGATTGTTCCTTATCTGTGTTATCAAAATTTCATTGATATATCTGGCTCAGGTATAGTCACAGAGAAACCAAAGTAATCTTATGTACTTATCCCAGTCTAAGTTGCTCAATTATTCTTATTAATAAAAAATCAACATGGACAAGGATAAATAATTATGAAATGAACCCTAACCCAGTTTCATATATTTTATTTGCAGTCTCTATCTGTTTAATAAAATAAGTCATTTTTCATCTAGGCTTTTAAAAATATATTGCAAATATATTGAAGATGCCTCATAAATGAATATTGCAATCAAAAACAAAATGTCAGATTGATTAACTGGATTAAAAACGGTTGGACTGATTTCTACTCTCAGTTCTCTAGGAACCACTCTTCTTTTGCTCTTATTGCTCACCTCACAGTTAGGTGTACAATGAAAAATGCAAGATGGTCCTTAGATATAGAGCTGTTTAATAAGATAAGGTTTTATATCGTTCATGCACAGAGAACAGTTCAATCAGGCTTCCATTTACACTACTAATCTTTATTACAGCATTGGATTAGTTAATTGTTATAAATGATACTACATTTAATGTATATATTTGACCTATACTGTAGGAAGTGCCTCTGTTCCATCTTAAGATGTTATCTCAACTCAAACCTCTGCAGTGATCCAATTTGAAGTGGTAGCTTGGCTTGGAAAATTGTGTTACTCCATTCCATCCTTTAAACCCATTACCTGCTTTAATCAAGTGAAAAGGTGCTACTGTACAGTTATACAGTAGCCCATGAGTGTGAAAAAGAAAATCTTAACATCTAGATAAAACTGGGCTGACTGTTCCAATTTTGTATTTTGAAAAGTGCTTGAGTGTCATAGGGATGCTTCAATTAAAAATAAATAAGTGCCAGCCAATGATTCCCCATGGACAGCACTTGGCAGACAGCAAAGGGTAGAGCAATAGAGGCAGGAGCAAGGGCACTGGATTGGGCCTCTAATATTCCATGACTTCCAAGCCGAGGCATCTGGGACTCTATGGATTTCTCCTCTGTAACTGTACTTAGTAGTATAAGGAATCAGTTTTTCACCTTCAGAGAAAAAAAATGGGGATTATGGCTATTGACAGAATGTCTATGGAGATTCAGTTGCCTCGTGAAAAAGCATCTTTGAGATAACTATTGACAGAATCTTAACAATCATTGTTCATAATTGTTCATTGCTATATAGATAATTAGCAACTAGGTAAATTTAGCAAGTATGCTAGTTAGACCCACCCTTCTGGCACATAATCTATGTTGATAGTATTAGATTAAAGGTTAGGGCATAATTTTCCAGTTCATGATGTATTATATTGAACTGAAGTGAATTGAATATTTATTTGGCCAAGTATGATTAGAGAAATTTGTCTCCAGTGCAGAAGCTCCCAAAGCAACAGACTAATGATAATCATTATAATAATACCAATAAAAGGGGGAAGTAAAGAAGATAAGAGGAATAAATAATAATACTACACTCATACTACATGTGTAAATACACGTAGATGCATTATTCATAGATATCATGATTCCATACTATACATAGAATTCTTAGACTTGCACATTCACCGAGCTTGATTAAAGGAGACTACATGAACATGTCCATTATAGTGATAACAGTAAAAAATAACTTGCTATTGCTATCTACTGGAAAGTTTGTGATTTTCACTTCCCAATCTGGTCTACAATCCTGTGATTTCCTGGTGATCTTGGAAACTAAGCAGGGACAGTTGAAAATTCTGGGCTATGGGCTGGACTGGGATGTTGAAAAACAGCTTGGAAGAAGGCCTTCACACCTTCTTCCATAATATTGCTTAAAAAATGGCACCAGTGTGGTTCCTAGGGTCAACCTTGATTGTATATAAAAGGAAAGATTTCCAATCTATTTCACTTTAGTATGTGACTCAGAAAAGCATTGTGGTATCATTAGCACTAGAAATTCTTTTCAGTGCAAGGAATTTAACTATCATAGTTAAAAGGTTATTTGTCAGCAAAATATAGAAAGTCATTCTTTATCCCAGTAAGAATTAGGGAAAAAAAGAGAAAGAGTTGAAGAACCATTATTTCTGCATTTCAGTTACTGCTGAGCTGTAGCCTGAATATTAACATCCTGGTTTGCAAAATAGACCTTCTTTTATTGTGAAATCCAAAAGCTTTATTTCACTTGACAGTAATTTACGGTTTTCCTACTTTAAATATTTTGTATACCAAGTTAAATGTACTGAGGTATTATTTAAACACATTGTGATTCTGTCTATTCACTGGGGAAAATATATTCATATATATATGAATAAAAGAAATAAAACACGATCACCGGGAGGGTTAAAGTAAGAAAACTTTACTAAAAATATACTATACTTAAAAGTTGCCAAGCTTTCGCTGGGGGAAACTCCCCAACATCGTCAGGGCTAAAAGGCCATTTCAATAAAGGTGGTTTAAGTAGGTTCAAGTAGCGTCTGCGCACGGCTCTTAGACCGCGTCACTGGCCCTGATTGGCCAGCCAATAACCAAGATGTGTCTATAACGTTATGTCTAAGAGCCGTGCGCAGACACTACTTGAATCTACTTAAACCACCTTTTAAGTATAGTATATTTTTAGTAAAGTATTCTTACTTTAACCCTCCCGGTGATCATGTTTTATTTCTTTTATTCATAATTATGCCCGGGAATATTGGGGATAAACAATTGGTTGGGCTCCGTTTTTACAAATAGACATACCTATAAAATCAGTTATTTAACAAGCATGAACCTGTGGAGAACCAGACTTTCAGATTCTTTGAAGTGTAGGAAGCCCCCCCCCAGATTAAAATATTCTTTATTCTTAATCTTAAAAGAGGCAGAATATTATATTTCTCAAAGGAGAAATGGAGAAAAATCTTAACAAAGGCAGAAAGCAGCCCCAATCTTTCTTATTAGCCTCAAGTAGAAGCCTCAAGTCTTGAGAGATGGATATTTTGTACCTATTACGAAAGACTGGGCCAATCTATTCATAAACAAAATGCCTTCAGCCCATACAGCTGATGGGATTAGGAATTTACATTCCCCCACCCAAATTTAAGAACAGGACATGATCTTTATTTAGGACATAATAGGATTAACCCAACACCCTCTTCAGACTAGCAAAAGACACAAAAGCCCACCTCATTGCACAGCCCAGAAACATTTCCACTGCAAAGTCTAAGAACCCTATAAAGATCCATCCACTGACTCAGCTATTTTGTCAGCTGTCCCAAAACTGCATGCTGTTGCTGGTTCTGCTCATCAATAAACAAGAACCCTTTTTCCTAAGCAGCCTCCATTTTATTTCTAGCATCTTGGTCTCCATTTTATTTCCAGCATCTTATTTCATTTTATTTCCAGTGTCTTACTCCCAGCTAGGAACTGGACCTGATTTTTCTTTCAACAGAAGCATGCCAGCTTTTTAAAAACATAAAGCAGATCAACCTATTTTTTTATCAGAAAAGTGTATCTTTTACTAAATTCCTCTTCCTTTTCCTGCTCCTCCTCCTCTTCATCCTACTCCAGCTCCAACGCAAAGGAAAAGAGTCCCTCATCTCTTTAAGCAAGTTGGCTCAATGGTGAACTATTCTTATTTAAGAAACTCTTTATCCTTTGACTAATTGCGACTAACTCTGTAAAACTCTGAAGCACAATGGAAAATTCATGACTTCAATCTTTCTTTCTTTCTTTCTTTCTTTCTTTCTTTCTTTCTTTCTTTCTTTCTTTCTTTCTTTCTTTCTTTCTTTCTTTCTCACTTGCTATTTGGCATTACTAAGGTCTTGATCTCTACTATAATCAAAAAAAGAAAATCGGCAAGACTAGTGAATGTGGCTTCCATATTTTTAGTGTAATTGGTAGCCCTAAAGCTGTAATACAAATCACAAGGGGCTAATCTTGCTTCCCTTAATGAATAAGTGAAACCTGTCATCTTAAGGCAGGGTTTCTCAGCCTCAGCAAGTTTAAGATGTGTGGATTTCAAATCCCAGAATTCCCCAGCCAACCATATTAACAGCTACATGTTAACAAGTAGCTCAAGTTGAGAAACAATGTTCTAGCCAAAAAGCGAAGTTCTTACCTGTGAATAGCTACCCCCTGTCTACTTGGAGAACTAAATTACACAAAGATGTTAAAAAAAAAGTGGTGAACAACTGGCTTACCCTTTTCAAGGAAAAAAACTTCTTAGACTTTTCTTTTGAAAAAAAATATATAACCAAATACATAAATCAATCCCAATTTTAGGGTGCAGTAGAATGAGCCACAAGCTGAAATCACTCTGAGGTGACTATTTTTCATGTCCTAACAATTTTGTAGCAAACGTCTTTGCAAAATAAATTCATTATTCCTAAGAATTTTTCAAATGATCAAGAAAAAGGTTGGACTTTACCTTATGAATGCCTATCTGGGATTCTTGCACATTGTTCTCAGATCCATTACTTCGGTTAATCATCTGCCACAACTTTGAATACATGTTATTCTTCTCAAAAGGATTCATCCCTTTCACCCGTACATGTTCATAGACTGCAGAATCCAAAACAGTGCCATAAGGAATATCTGTCTGCCGGGAGAGATCTTGAAGAGACCTTAAATATTAGAGAAGACAAGAAACACAAGATATTTGATTCCACATTTCCAGGCTATTGGCAAGCAAAGGACAGCACATATCACAACAGCTCTTAAGGCATTTTGATTTAGTTTTTATATTATTCTTAGAAATCAAAGCAAGACAGGGAGAATTGCCTTTATATTTTAAGACACAAGGGCAAGTACAGAGCTAGAGAGTAAAGGAGAGAAAAGAAAAGATATTGGATTTTTCTTTTTTTAAAAAAGAGAGACCTACAAAAATCAGGGCAGGGCAGCTTCTTTTAAAGAGCAACATAGAAGTGTGGGAAGTCAGAGCCCCAGAGAAAGAGATATTAAAAGGGCAGAAAAATATATTTTTCCTCAAAAGGATTTTTAAAAGCAGGAGCCAACTCTGCCCCCAAATCTCTCTATCCCAAACAGGAGCCAGCCCTATACAAATGCAAATGTAAAACCATCAGAAAGTTTGTCAAGACAAAGAGACTTAAAATCTGCATACCCCACCCAAACTCTAGGAGTCATTAGCCCCATCATCAGGGAAGCAGGATATGATAATAGGATTAAACCACAGATATCAAGGCCTAGAAAAACATTCAGAAATAGCCTCAAAGTTCATGCCACAGGAACAGGAAACTATTCCAAACAAAAGGCTAGAGGGGGTATAAAAGCCTACTACCCATGTGCTCAGCTGCTTCTTCCCTCTGCTCTTCCCTGCAAGAACCATCTTTCTGCCTCTTCAATAAACTGTAACCTTCTTCCCAAAGCAGTGGTCATGTTGCTTATTTATTCCCAGCTTGGATGAATCAGGATGAAGACTTTACTTCCCACAGAAGGAAAGGTTTAATATTAACCAACACTTGAGATTTAAAGAACATGCCATTCCTAAGTTGACTTACCATTATAGTATGTTTAAAATCTAGTATCATCCAAAAGAAAACCAACAAAAGAAAAGAGCAAGGGCTAAAATTATTGGTTTCATTTATCTGTCAAATTTATATGACACCTTTCCATCAGACAGTCCTCAAGATGTCAAGCAATAACCAGAAATAGGAATCATACCATTATCATCTATTTGATTTTGCCCCTGGACATCAAAGTAAAAGCACTCTTCCAGCACTGATAAATTACATCTCTACAAAGATTGTTTCTATCACAAACACAGCACACCATTTCTTAAGTTACATTTCTTATATTAAAGTCCTAAAAGAGACCAAGCAACATCCAAAGCATTAATAAAAGGGGCAACACTGATCTTTAGTATCTCTATAATCAGAAGAATTAGCTGGAGGAACATGTGAAAAATCAGCATACTACAGATATATAAGAATTATGAGCCTGCTTTCTGTGAGTCAATATACTGATTTTTTTTTCAGTTTTATCTACATTAATAATGTATGCCTCTCTCCTTTCTCCATTGGCTGGAGACCCCCTTGTAACAAATAGGCAGCAAATCCTTGTATACAACTGTAGTTCAAAAGAGCTGTCTCCAAAACAGCTTTACTGCTGCTACTTCTGCCAGCAAAAATAACAATTCAATGTAGTAAAATATCAGAAACATTAGTGAATAATAAAGCAAGAAGCAGCCTTCACTAATAAAAACAAATGGAATAACAAAAACATTATTTTCTTAGGTGAAATAGATGCAGACTCGGATCTCTCAGTGATCAGATAAGACAATAATCAGTTCATTGTCAAGAATTGATAATTGACATCTACTGCTTGGTTTTTTTTTTACTAAAGTAAACATACAGATAGTCTGTGACTTACAACACTTCATTTAGTGACTGTTCAAAGTTACAATGGCACTGAAAAAGGTGACTTATGACCATTTTTCACAGTTACGACCTTTGCAGCATCCCCATGGTCATGTGATCAAAATTCAGATGCTTGGCAAGCTTCTGACAAGCAAGTCAGTGGGGAAGCCAGATTCGGTTTACACAACCATGTTACTAGCTTAACAACTGCAGTGATTCACTTAACAATTGTGGCAAGAAGGGTTGTAAAATGGGGAAAAGCTGACTTAACAAATGTCTCACTTAACAACAAAAAGTTTGGACTCAGTTGTGATTTTAAGTTGAGGACTACCTGTAATCAGTTATCTGCTCATGTCACTAGTGGAGAGCAGATAAATTACATCAGTGAAGGATTAGTACATTAAGTTTTAATATGGATGGCCTGGTCACTGCAGGATAATTGTATTATGCTGAACTTAAACATTATTCATTTATTATTTGCGGTAGTCATCTCTTGCAGTAAATATGCCCAAGAAGTATCTAAAGCCACATGCAATGGGAACCAGAGAAAATCTAATAGTAAATTTGGTCTTAACATGATAATCACTATCTTCCTCTATAGAAGAGCATGGAAAAAAAAACAATAGCCAAATAAGCATCTTCTCAAATGTTGATAGTGAGAACAATTGTAAATTATAATTGTTTGTCTTTCTTATCAGAAATTACATCTTTGCAACCAAGAAACCCAATTAGTTATTTTACACAAACCAGCTCTTGCATGTTACCCACAATTATTGCAATGAATGGTTTTGAAATAAAGGTGAGAAAGAAAAAAAAAATAGTTGTAGAAGGCTACCATTTGTCAATATGTTCTAATCAATGAATACAAACTCTTTGAATACCCATTAGAAGTCGTATTGTTATATCTGGGAAACAAAACAAAGAAAGCTTAGAAAATAAAAGCACAATTGACAAATATCCACAGATCTTTTTGATAGATTTAGTATCATTATATTTCTCAGCCCAACTCATCTCGCAGGGATATTGTTGTGGGGAAAAAGAGGAGGAGGCAAGTATATAATGCATGTTTGTGGCCTTGAGTTACCTACAAAGTAATAAAGGCCTAGATAAAAACCTAATAAATAAATAAAATAAAAATGCCCACAATATATTATTAAACCTCTGCATATTCAGTGAAAAGTGGAACTGCACTTATTTAGGTAAAGCTCCATACTTGCATGGATACAAGATTTAAGCACATATAGTAGTAAGCATACAGTCTAGATATTCAGCTTCTTAAAATCTTTAATCTGGTTCTCAGAGCTGTCTCAAAAATAACTATCAAACTGGATTTTTAAAGGACAGAATTGAAAATTATTTACTACCTGAGCGCTCTGTCTCTCTCTTCCTTCCTATCTATATCTATATCCAGTGCTTTTTTTTTCTAAAAAAAAAGGTGCCGGAACTCACACATGTCATACAACCCGCCTTGCCTACCTTTTGGTTCCATCCAAAAAAGATGCCGGAACTCCGTTCTGGGCATTCTATGAGAAAAAAAGTTTCTCCTTAGTTCTAGGTTGCTTTTCTCCTTGATTAGTTTCCATCCGTTGCTTCTTGTTCTGCCTTCAGGCGCCTTGGAAAATAGCTTGACTCCCTCTTCTTTGTGGCAGCCCCTGAGATATTGGAATACTGCTATCATGTCCCCCCTCGTCCTTCTCTTCATTAGACTAGACATACCCAATTCCAGCAGCCGTTCCTTATATGCTTTAGCCTCCAGTCCTCTAATCATCTTTGTACAGGTATAGTATAGGGGGTACCTTGCTCAATATTAGTAACTGTGAGAGGGACCTTTGCGTCCTAGTGGACAATCACTTAAATATGAGCCAGCAGTGTGCTGCAGCTGCCAAAAAGGCCAACACAGTGCTGGGCTGCATTAACACAGAGATAGAATCAAGATCACATGAAGTATTAATACCACTTTACAATCCCTTGGTAAGGCCACACTGGACAGCCATTTGTCTGAAACAGTATAAGTTTTCCTGCCTGAGCAGGGGGTTGGACTAGATGACCTCCAAGGTCCCTTCCAACTTTATTATTACTGTTATTATTATTACTATTACTACTACTACTATTATTATTATTATTATTATTATCATCTATCCACACACACACACATTGTGTGCCAGTCCACTGTACATCCCTGAAAGTTGTGAAAGGTAGGCTTGCAAAGTAATCTCTACATTAGCATTTCTCAACACTAATCTTGGCAACATTAAGATATGTGGACTTCAACCCCAGAATTCCAAAGTTGCCACAATTGAGAAACATTGCTCCAAATGAGACAGTTTGTTCTACAAGGAATAGTGCAAGCATGTACTTTGGGCTTTACTTGTGCTTGTGGCATACTGGTCAAAACTGATTGATACTGTTCTTACCATTAGCAAAAAATGTTGTATATGGCAAGAGTATCATTCGGGCTAGTAACCTGCTCTTCATTACAGTATTATATTAAAGTACTAAATGAAAGCATTGATTGATTATAGCCATGATGAGCATTGGAGCATAGGCCATATCTATGTGAAATAGGCTGTGGGTTAAAGTGTGTATGAAAGGATGATTGCTGTAAAATAACAGAATGAGAGAAATATACTGGCAAAAGTGTATAAGGAGAAATAGTTTCAAAGACTGAGGAAGCTACTTGGATAAGCAGTTAAAGGTTTCAAACCCAAAAGAAAAGAAGACTAGTTGCCATGACTCAGTTTCCAGACAGTTACAAAGGGTATATAGAAAAACAAAACTGTTATGATTAAAAAATTGAGGGGAGAAATTTAAAAAAAAGTTCTTTAATTGGGTAAAGAGAAGCATCCAGCAGAAAGAATATGATTAAAAACAAAAATAATGCAATCATTTCAAATAGGGTGGAAATGAGGAAATGTTGGAAGGAGAATTAGTGATAGAATTGCATTTAAATGAATGCTGTCAATGTTAGCATACCAAAAAAAAATCTGAAAAGGAAGCCATAGGACTGTTAAAATGTTGAAAAAGGGTAAAGCTACAGTTGCAAATAGTATAAACTTGGAAAAAGTGGAAATATTGATCTGGTTTGCTTATGGAGAGATTGTGCAACTTGTTCAAATATGTGTAAAGGCTGCATCTGTACTGGATGATTGGAAGAATGTCACTACTGTTCTTGTGGGCAAAGGGAAAGTTAGTGAATACAAAAACTTGCCAGGCCATTTGTTTGTTAAATGTACCTGGGAAGCTATTTG